ATGTGAGTTGAGCGTGGCACGTGACTTCCCGCAACCGTACCGACTTCCATCAATTCACACTTACACTTTCTAGGTAGCTCATAGCTATAACTTCACGAGTATCACACCGTTTGGCCTCTATGTAGGCTTATTTTAATCGCTTTATTCACGCGAATGCAATCCAATTTACGGCGTAGAAAAATTTGGAGTACCTCACAAATTGTAGCATAAACTATTTGGCCTGTATTAGACATCTGAAATATATATTATCATCATGAGTTCTGCTCCGTTTCATGCGATTTTGGGCTTGTCAGAAACGCACAAATTAGAGCTTTAAAACGGGTCTAAGAGCCCCTAATATTTCGACGTTTAAGGCGACCTCCGATAACATTTACCATTTTTAGGCAGATTCTTCACCAGTAATTGGTCCAAAGCCATTTGAGTTTTGAACTAAATACTACGTAAATAGATGCGTTGGAATCGGCTTGAACACCACTTTCCAACGCAAAAAAAATCACAAAAGACGAATATGTTTTGCAAAAGATACTTCATATTCTTTCTTGTTGCAATCTTTGTAGGTCAATCAATCTCTGGACAGTGCTGTACTTTCTTCTTATTCCAGGCGTATTTTGGTCATAAATTATTCATATACAATAGGGAATGTGTTTTCTACTGAAATCTAGTATACTTGTAGTTTGACTCCCTATAAGGGCTGGGTAGAAAGTGGAGGCCCCTCTATAGCACCCTATAGTAACGGCACAAGTCTCTGTAGTGCTGTATAGCACAAGCTTACACCCACACAGTGCTGTGGAGCACTGTGGAGCGCTAGGGCATCTAGCCAAACTTGGCGTGTAACTATGGGAAACTATGATGTTAGCGGAAGCACTATGCCTGTTAGTCCTGTTTTTACCGCGCCCTCCGAACCGCGTCAGAAAATGCTTATATAAAGTGCGGACTTTGAAACCGCGTCGCGTCAATATTGAGGAACGCCCTCAGAACTCTCGACGCGTTTAAACCTTTGTAGCACTATATACCACCACAAATTCCATTCGTATTTCATTATAACCTCAACCCCAATGGATTGCAACGTTCGAGTTGTCGGATCCTTCCGGAAATTGAAACCAATCGCTGAAATACCCGAAATTGACCCGAAACTCCGGACTTTATCACACCCTTCATGCCATCTCTATCGAATTGTCTTCTTCCAACATCTCGAAGTATCCAACGTGGGTCGTCGCATACTACACCTTTACTTCTTGGCTCCCCATTTTGCCATCTTAGCTCCCTTAGTGGATCTTCGAGCCAACCTCGACTGATCAAATCTCCCCAAAGCGACGCGCGGAAGCTGTCATCCAAGTTCGAGAACCTGGAAACATTTCTAACAGACTCGGGATTCGATTCTGTTGGCGACTTTTTGAAGATTTTGTTTTACAATCCTAGCCACCTCTCTGGGGAATCAGATCCTCGAGGCTCTTGCCATGCAAAGGCTCTTTCCCATTTTCCCCAAGGACGAAACAAGATCAAGATGTCCGATACCATTTCCCTCATCTATAGTACGAGTACAAGCACAAACACAGCGCGCCTTCACCGGCTTCACCACCTTATTCTGAGTGCCATGCCTTATTCTCACCTTCTGTCGCTCCTGGGGAAATCTTTCACGCGCGTCCTTCCCTATTCACTTGGGCAATAAATGTTGTTGCCGATCACGTTCATCGAGAGATCTATGACCTTAATAGTAAGGATGCTCATCTCCGAGCATCAATGGCACATGGCCAACGCGCAGATCATGTCAACCTTGTAACCTAGAGGCGGGACCGAGCGGCGAGAACACGCTGATTTTCCGTCGCCAGTCGCAGTACAGCAGAAAACAACCTTAGTACGACCTTTCCATCCAGATTGGCAGAAACAAGCTTCAGTTGGACCGCATGCAGTCCGTTCGTCCAATTCGGTATGAGTTTCTTGATGATGGTGTTGGTTGTAACAGGGAAGTTCAGGGTCTTGCCAGCCGGGTTGTCGAGCCATCACTGAGCCGTCATAACAGATTCCAAGAAGTAGAATATCTAATAAAGGTCTATTAAAGTAGAAATGTATGAGATATCACGTTGATATCACGTCGAGAGCAAAACGGCAAGGAGGCAATATTGACGCGACGCAGTTTCAAAGTCCGCACTTTACATAAGCTTTTTCTGACGCGGTTCGGAGGGCGTGGTAAATAACAGACTTCATATATCGTGAACCAAGGTACGACTTCACATATATCGAAGTCTGTCTAGGAGAGACTATATGCCTGTCTACGTGGGAAAATCAGGTTTTGCTGATGTTGGATGGCCTAATTTACGTGTGCAGTATATTACCGTCTGTACACCAAACTCGGTGCATTTGAATCGAATCACGCCCTCTACCAGAACGACCGTTTCATTGGCCGCATTCCGTCGAAATTGTTTGCCCCTCCTCACATGGTCGCGTCTTTCAGGCGGACCTTGTGCAAACTTGAGGGCCTCTCGGAGCCCGACAAGGCCCTTGTCTTCACACCGCTCTCAAGCCCAGCACCCAAAGAAGACTCTGCCCGCCTCTCTCTTTATGGTCCTTCTGGGCCAGGCCTGTCTGAACAAGATCCGATCGCGCTGGTTGTCGAGTTGGAGAAGAGAATCAAGGACGTTACACAGCCGGAGAAGCTCCCGGAACGCTCTGATGATACCGATATCCATTACGGCAAGTTTTGTCGATGTCTCCTACCTAAATAGTGCACTCAGCAGCTTCGCAGTATACTATCGTGTTTACTCAGCAGAAGGAGAAGGAGATGAAGAAAAGGCAAAGACATCCTTTGACGAGAGTGACATATCGTTAGGGCGCATCAACGCCGTCTTCATCGCTCCCCCTCATACTGCTGGGTCTTTGAAAGCATGCATCACAAAAGCTGAAGGCCTCGTCACACCCGGTCATGCGCTCTACAAGGACATGGAACTCTTCCAAGACATGACTAGTGACACTGCCATGAACGACACCGACATCATATCCTTCCAAGATGACGCTTATCCGGGTAGTGATGAAGATGATCCCGTAGCCCTTGTCAATGCAACCGCCGATACAGCAGCGGATCAAAAGGCTAAGCCTACATCAGATAAAGTTCTCAGTGAATATCCACTAGACACTGCAGCAACAAACTGTGCTTTTCCAGATGGACCAGATCCAAAATTCACGAAACGTGCTCGGGCAAAGCGTGATTGGAGTGAGTAACAGTTCCTGAGATAATCCGATCCTCATCCTAAAGTACCCCATAGCACCTGAGGAAGTAAACAAGTCCACCTGGCTATCAATGATCAAAGATGAGATTGTTCACACAGATGGAGTTGTTCTCCCCATGACGTCCCAGTATAATAACTGTCTGTTTTTTCTATTCTGCTTTTTCACAGATTGTTG